TAGGGATGAGGGGAATGCTCTGTGCCTCACTAATCCACATACACACAAACTCACACACACACACACACACACACACACAGGCACACACACACGAGTGTCTGATGACTAGAAGTCTATACTTAGAATTGTGCTTCATTAGCAAGAACCTTTTGATAGGGAAGATTTGGGTGGGAAAAGAATCTGAGGATCTTGGAAGTCCCAGAGTGGGCTTTACAGAAGCCCCTCGAGAGGGGTCGGGTAAGGAAAGACTGTCCAGAATGCAGAGAAAACAATCTTTGCTCAGCAGTTTGTGAAGGGTCTGCTGGCTATACATTTTGGGTTCCTTTTAGAACTGGAAGCATTATCTTATTTTTAACAATATGTCCCAAAGACTTCAAGAAGTTATTGTACAATGTATGATGATGCCTGAGCCTCAGAACCAGAGGGGATCCGTGCATGGGCTTCAGGTTGGGGCAGAGTTTTGTGCATCTGTCTGAGTTGCAGGTTTTGGAGAGAGAGTGTCCACAGCTTTCACTAAGAATCATAAAGCGGTCTTGAGCAACTGGAGCAAGAAGACCTGGCAACAGCCCCTCTGAAGCGTTCAAGGTTCAGGGTCAGCAGAGCCTTCTACCAGCTGTCCGGGTCTTAGGAACTGGGGTGGGTCCATGAGAACTTGGACCTGCCAGCTCACCTAGACCTTGGAGGGCCCTTTTCCCATCATTGTGAGTGCTATCCTTCAAAGGTCTTCCTGTCTCTTTGTGGATTTTTTTAATTAGAATTTTTTTCTGACCATAAAATTACAAATTGAGAAAATATGGAAAAATGTAGTGAAGAAAATAAAGCCAACCATAATCCTACAAATCCAACCAATCCTACTCATCAGAGTTAACCTCCTAGGGATTTTCTTTTTCTTTTGTCATTTTAAAGAGGATTGAGATCATATATATCTATGAATGGAGCCTTTTCATTTAACATTACATCATAATCATCTTACTTGCCATTGAAAGGTCTTCATAAGCATCATTTTCTATGGCTACACAATATTCCATTATATGGCTATAGACTGCTGACTTACTCCTTTTTCTGTCGAGCATTTGCATTGTTCGCAGTTGTTTTGTTTTTTGTTTTGAGACAGGGTCTTACTGTCACCTAGGCTGGAGTGCAGTGGCACAATCGTAGTTCACTGTAGCCTTAAACTCCTGGGCTTAAGTGATCCACCACCTCAGCCTACCAAGAAGCTGGGACTACAGGGATGCATCACCAAGCCTGGCTCTTTTTTTTTTTTTTTTTTAAGAAGTGGGGTCTTGCTATGTTGCCCAGACTTGTCTCAAACTCCTGTCCTCAAGTGATCTTCCCAAAACTCTGAGATTATGGGTGTGAGCCACTGCATCCAGCCTCTGTTCCCAGTTTTTTGCTTTGATAAATAATGCAGTCAGAACTATCTTTGGGCAAGAAGTCGGGCTTGCATTTTGGATTATTTCTTTATGATAAATTCCTAGAAGTCTTGTTTGACTTTTGAAGATACTGTGTGTTAAGATGTTGCTGAGACCCATCTGTAAAGCGTGAATGAGACTGTGGGCAAAGAGGTGGGGCCAGGCAACAGGGCTTGCTGGGTTCCTGCTGCACATCGGATGTACCACAAGGTGCTGTGGGTATTAATGGAGAGTTAAACAATTAAAAGACCCAGCCCTATCCTCGAGGCCCTTACTGTATAATGTGGAACTATTTCATACATATTAGGTTGGTGCAAAAGTAACTGTGGTTTTAGCATTAAAAAGAGGGCACCATAATTACTTTTAATGGCAAAACCGCAATGACCTTTGCACCAACCTAATAAATCGCCTAAAGAAAGACATGTCCGTATCTCAGATCCCCGGGGAATCTACACGTGAGTCTCAGGATGGAGTTGCATTTTTGTGTATCATGTCATGTTCATGTTACATTTTCTGGGGCTTCATCAGAATCTTTTTATCTATGGAGCTGCAAAGAGGTTGATCTCCTGACCTCGTGATCCACCTGCCTCAGCCTCCCAAAGTGCTGGGATTCCAGGCATGAGCCACTGCGCCTGGCCTAAAAAACTTTTCTTAATACCATTAATATGACCAATAGAGCACACTGAGGAGATGGCAGTCAGTGTCCTCCTTTTGGGGTCTTAAGATAGGGTGTAGCAGAGGCCAGAGCCTTCACCCAACGGGTGTGAGGCAGATTTGTCACCTGTCCCTGCAGTCACTCCCTTTACATATAAATCTGTTCCTGGTAGCATAAGCCAGTGTTACACGAGCCTTATGCCTACAAGATCATATTGTCAGAACATAATGTTACACAGGTGTGTGGCCCTTTCAGTGATACAAACCAATGTCACTTCATCTCTCTGCCAGAGCATCAGTCCTCACCTGGTTGCAAAGCATTAAATGAGCTTCTCACTGCTATTTCACGGCCATGAGGGGGACCAGCCCAGCTCTGCCAACAGAGAAGAAAAGGCAAGGAGGTGTGATCATTCTGTAGGCTTTTTGCTCAGGGCCAGAACCAGATGTGCACGTGGAAACTGACAGCCATCGTTTGTATTTCCTTTCTCCAATCTGCACTGACGAGTTTGGATTTGGCTAGCTCTTCCAATGGGAAAATGAGAAAGCCACGTGCCAGGCTGTGGCCCTGGACAGACATCTGCAATTGCTCGATTTTTACAAAACCCCATCTTAGCTCAGCGTGTTGTAATGGTTCGTGGATTTTGTCAATTGAGTGCCTAGTCAGGACAAGTGGGTTAGGGTGGGGTATGTCTCATCGCCCCATTTCCCTTGGAGTCTCTTCTACATCTGTGGCTGGAGTGCCCAGGTCTCCATCAGAGGGTCTGTGGGTGAGCATGCCTCGACCACAGAGACTACCCCAGGATGGGTGCTTTCACTCAGTAGCTCCAAGTCTTTCGCCTAGCGTCTGTTTTATCTGACTTGCTAACAAATCTGTGTAAATCCTTTTTTTTGCCCTCCAGTTGGCTGTTTCTCCAGGTCCAGCTGAGTTGTTTTTCTTCTTCCCTGGCTCTTGGCTTCCATGGAATAAATCCCTTTCTCGTTCCCTGGCACTCTCCTTTGCTTTGATCCTTTGTTTTCTCCAGACCCAGAACTACTTAGTCTCCTAAAAGGGCTCCGAGAGGCATTTTGGTCTTCCTGTAATTTATACACACATTACAGTCATCACGTAAGACTAATTCTTATTTGGCCTGACCTCCACTGGCCAAAAGCAACACACTCCACCCTGAAGCAGATGGGGGTCGGGGAGGAAACAGGCACTGCCAACCCCTCAGATTTAGGCAATATCCGCTTTTTATGGGAAAAGAACAACTTGAAACAAACACTTCTGTGACCACTGCCAGCCCTAATCCAGAATGCAAAATAAACAAGCATGATAATGCTCAAAATACAATCTTGGGGAATTGTGGAGGGTGGAGGGGATCAGGCATTAGTTAAAAGCTTAGACCTCCAAAGGGTATCATTAAGAAATTCTTCACACTTAATCAGACTCACCTTGGCTAGGATTTAAGCTTATGTATTCTGATTCTGTCCAAATAGAAATAGTCTTCTCCTTTCACTATGTCATTTTAAATAATAATACATTTTTACTAAAAATGATATTTTAAATATAAAATATAACAAACCATCATGTAAGATAATTGTAATGGAATATATTTTATATGTAAAAACATTATATTGTATAATTTAATACTACTATCTTTTGTATTTAAATAATATAAAAGCAAAATCTATTTCTGTCTAAAATGTTATAGATTTGTATAAATAAAATATAAAATGAAACATTTTATACTGCCTTAGCAAACATTGCCAAACATTTCTAAAATGTAGGTTACTTAAATATCTTAAAATAAACCTTATTGTTTAAATCAATACCAGACGTTTAACATTGAAATTAAGTAATTCATGGCTTTCTGGGACCAGGACACCTGTAATCCAAGCACTTTGGGACTTAGAGGGTGGGGGGGGTCACTTAAGACCAGGAATTCAAGACCAGCCTGAGCAATATAAGGAGAACCCTGTGTCTTAAAAAAAAATTTAAGAGACCCCTTCTCTTTAAAAAAAAAAAAAAAAAAAAAGGCCAGGCACGATGGCTCATGCCTGTAATCCCAGCACTTTGGGAGGCAAAAGCAGGTAAATCACAAGGTCAAGAGTTTGAGACCAGCCTGACCAACATGGTGAAACAAAATACAAAAATTAGCTGGGTGTGGTGGTAGGTGACTGTATTCTCAGCTACTTGGGAGGCTGAGGCCAGAGAATTGTTTGAACCCAGGAGGCGGAGGTTGCAATGAGCTGAGATCACGCCATCACACTCCAGCCTGAGCAACAGGGCAAGACTTCATCTCAATAAAGAAAGAAAAAAGAAAAAAACAATTAGCTGGGTGTGGTGGCGCCTACAGTCTTAGCTACTCAGGAGGCTGAGGCAGGAGGATTGCTTGAGCCCAGAGGTTTGAGGCTGCAGTGAGCTATGATCACACCACTGCAATGCAGCCTGGGAAACAGTGAGATTCTGCCTCAAAAACAAACAAAAAACAACAAATTAACTAATGCAACATAAATATTTAAAGTAATATTGAAATACATAGAATATCTTCTTTTTCTTTTCTTTATTTTTGAGACAGAATCTTGCTGTTGCCCAGGCTGGAGTGCAGTGGCTGAAACACAGCTCACTGCAGCTTCAACCTCCCCTGCTCAAGTGATTCCTTCACCTCAGCCTCCTGAGAATCTGGGACCACAGGCGTGCCCCACCACACCCGGCCAATTATTATTATTATTATTGTAGAGATGGGATCTCACCATGTGACCCAAGCTGGTCGCCAACTCCTGGGCCCAAGCCCTCCTCCGGCCTCGGCCTCCCAAAGTGCTGGGACGACAGGCATGAGCCACCGCTCCTGGCCTTCTTTTTCTATTAATGTGAAATATTTTAAGACCTGACCCAGGGATGTGCGCTCGGGCATGGTCCCGCCCCGCTGACCGCTGTCTTCCTCCCACCCGCAGGCATCGGCAAGAACGTCATCTGCGACCGCACGGCCACGCCGCTGGACGCCTTCCGCATGACCTCCGCCGCCCACTACTACCCCAAACTCATGAGCATCATGGGCAACGTGCTGCGCTTCCTGCCGGCCTTCGTGCGCATGAAGCAGCTGATCGAGGAGGGCTACGTGGGCGAGCCGCTGGTGTGCGAGGTGCAGGTGCACGGCGGCAGCCTGCTGGGCAAGAAGTACAACTGGAGTTGCGACGACCTGATGGGCGGCGGCGGCCTGCACTCCGTGGGCACCTACATCATCGACCTGCTCACCTTCCTCACCGGCCAGAAGGCCGTCAAGGTCCACGGGCTGCTCAAGACCTTCGTGAAGCAGACGGACCACATCAAGGGCATCCGCCAGATCACCAGCGACGACTTCTGCACCTTCCAGATGGTGCTGGAGGGTGGGGTGTGCTGCACGGTCACCCTCAACTTCAACGTGCCCGGCGAGTTCAAGCAGGACGTCACCGTGGTGGGCTCCGCCGGGCGCCTGCTGGCCGTGGGCACCGACCTGTATGGGCAGCGCAACAGCGCCCCAGAGCAGGAGCTGCTGGTGCAGGACGCCACGCCGGTGAGCAACTCCCTGCTGCCCGAGAAGGCCTTCAGCGACATCCCCTCGCCCTACCTGCGCGGCACCATCAAGATGATGCAGGCGGTGCGCCAGGCCTTCCAGGACCAGGACGACAGGCGCACGTGGGACGGGCGGCCCCTCACCATGGCCGCCACCTTTGACGACTGCCTGTATGCCTTGTGCGTGGTGGACACCATCAAGAGGTCCAGCCAGACGGGCGAGTGGCAGAACATTGCCATCATGACCGAGGAGCCAGAGCTGAGCCCCGCCTACCTGATCAGCGAGGCCATGCGCCGCAGCAGGATGTCCCTCTACTGTTAGCACAGACTGGGGACCTCGGGGACTTGAGCCTTCTGCGGGGGATGTCCACAGAGAGGGAAAGGTGACGGTGGCCATGGGCAACGTGGGGATCGGGGAGATGGAGGGACAGTGTGAATAAATGGCATCTGGGAAGGTAAACTCCAGCCCAAACCAGACTGCTGGTGGGCTGAGCCTGCAGCCTGGAAGCATTCAGGAGGGCCTGCCATTCCCGGGTTGACCCCTGCTGGGTATTTGCACCAGAGTGGTTTGGTTTAGCTGCCTCTGCTGCGCTTTACTGTGACAAGCAAGGAGGGGTTGCTTCCCTCCCTACCTCATCCACCCCTCACACACCTTGACCTCCTGTAAGCCAAGTGGGCCTGCAAGGTCAAGGCAACAGTATCAGATGCAAACTCAGTGCCCGGGACACCCACCACTGGCAGGAGAAGGCTCATTTTCACAGTCTACAGAAGCCTGTTAGGCTGGGGTTGGGGGGTGGGATAGGCTGTTGGGAAAGTTCAGATTCCAGGAAGCTGCTATTTGTTGAATGTAAGGTATCTGAGGGCAAAAGTACTTAGTAGCCAAGTGGCCAGCTTTTGACTGATTGGGCTTCCTCATAGGAAGCACTGAGAGTGTGTCTTCGCACTTGGTTCATTGCCCTTCACCTGGTGGAGAGAGGTCAGAAATAGCAAGCAGAAAGCAGGACTCCCTGAAGCCACAAGGAAAGAGCTCAGATTGCACCAAAACAGGGGGAGCAGAGAATAAAATTGCTTCTTTGATCTTGTCAACAATTTAAAAACTGCAGAGTCACCTTATAACTTTATTTCCAGTAAAGGTGAAATTGAGTGTCACAGGGATTACTGAGGTGTTAAGGTAGCCCTGCCACATGGCTCTCCAGGCAGTGCCAAGAAGCCAGCACAAGTATGGGTTTGACCATAAGCTCAAATGCTGCCCCCAAAGACTGGGGACAGCTGTGTGCCTCAGTGTTGCAGTGTGAATTCCCTAACAAGGTAAAGTAAGACTAGCCAGGGAGGTGTTCGGGGCTCCATTACCCATCTCGCCCACCAAGCTGGCAAGAGCTTTTAGGAGATTCATCCAGCTTTGTGGAAAAAGGAAGACTTCAGTTCCAATCAGAATCCTTTTTTCTTAAAAAAAAAAAAAAAAAAAAAAAATTTTTTTTTCTTAGCTCCAGCATTTGCTTTCAGGATTCCGACACCAGAGAATTTAGGGGTAGGTACTAAACTAAACAAAACAAAAGGACAACAAGGGACATTATTTCTCGTGTTTCTACGGGGCCATACTTAGCATTGAGAAGGCTAATGGTGGAAAAAACATGTTCTTCTAATTGATCTCCTGTGTCTCTTGTCTTTGCACACTCTGCTTACAGAGCTTTTGTTAGAGATGCTGACTGCAGGCTGGAAGCAGGCAGTGCCAAAAGGGAACACAGACACACACAGACACACACACACACACACACACAGAGAGAGATTTGTGAATGCTTGCTACCATCAAATGTCACTGAAATCATTCTTAAAAATTCAGATCTGGTCTTGAAAGAAAGATCAAGTCAAGCACATTCAGAGAACAGGGAATTATCCTTTGTTATCTTTGCTTAATCCTTCACCCCACATAAGACATTTGTCAAGGGTGAACTTGGAAGCCATTCCTCATAAGTCTATGTAGCCTTTGTTCACAGGCTCACTGAAGTCCAACAGGTGTCTTTACATGCAGCTGAGGTTTAGAGTTCTTTTCAGATAGCTGGCATTAGAACTAGAAGGGAATCTAAGAGGCCTGGAGTCCACCCCCAACCTTAGTAGGCAAAATCTGAGAATGAACAGCGCAATCAGTTGCATCCTTCATTGTCCTCCATAGGGTCAAAATACTTTGAAGCCTGGCTACTCATAGATGCAAGTGTGGTGTGTCCAAACACCAGGGGAATGTTGGGCATTTTCTAGTACAGAGAAGTATTGCCTTTCTGGAAAGAGTCACCCTGCTTCATGGGACTTTGCTGCAGCACTGCAGGGTCGGTCAGCTGAAACTCCGTGCCTGGTTCATTTGGTCCCTCACCTGTTGTTGACAGACTTCACGGTCAGCGCTCCTGCTCTTGCAGCTATCAGTCCCAAACTGGAGATTTACTGGAATGGAAGCCTCCCCATAATAGTTTGAACAGACGGCCATGTCATGGACTGTTTTAGTTCTCGTTCTTCTAAATTGCTCTCGGGGAAAGTAGTTTTTGTGGAAACATTGGAATTATTATTTTTTTTTCTAGCTAGCCTGAAGGGCTTTGATTAGAGATGAAGGGAAAGCAAATGAAATGACTCAATGGGTTTCATTTTTCTAAGTCATTCGTAACCTAAATAGGGATATTTCTGGAGTTTCAATTGTATGTTTCTGTACTAAATCATAATACTTGGAAGATCTTTTCCCAAGACTTGGGGTTTGGGAGAGAGGTCCCCACCAAGGCCTCTAAGCTCTGTAATAAATTTTTAGTATCTAAAACAAAAATTCTCATTTGAGGCTGGGTATATAGAAAGAGCATATATTCTTTAAAAGAAGCATGAAAAAATGTTTTAATAAGTGTATTCAAATTTTATCCACCAAAGTGCATGTAGTAGGTAGATGAAGGAACAAGAGAAACAAAAGAGCTAGATAGTTCTTTTTCTTTAAATATAAAAATTATAGCAAATGGGTTTGAGATACTTTTTTTTTTTTTTTTTTTTTTTTTGAGACAGAGTTTTGCTCTTGTTGCCCAGGCTAGAGTACTATGGCGTGATCTCAGCTCACTGCAATCTCTGCCTCCCAGATTCAAGTGATTCTCCTGCCTCAGCCTCCCGAGTAGCTGGGATTACAGGCATGTGCCACCACACCCGGCTAATTTTGTAGTTTTAGTAGAGACGGGGTTTCTCCATCTTGGTCAGGCTGGTCTCGAACTCCCAACCTCAGGTGATCCGCCCACCTCAGCCTCCCAAAGCGCTGGGATTACAGGCGTGAGCCACTGCGCCAGGCTGAGATACTTCTTTAGTGCTCCATTTGCCCTTATCCCATCACATGCAAAGACTTGATTTGGGGTAGCAGGATGAAGCTAAAATCTCTGGCCCTCAACAGCATTCTGCAGAAGGACTTTGTTTCAGCCCAGCACCCTTAATCATGCCCTTAGGGGTTCAGGTACCCTTAGCTGACTTTGACCTAGAACTAACACCCAACAATATTTCGGCTCCTTTCTGCTTTGTTGAATGTGTTTCAAGGGCTTTGATGTAAGGAGGCAGTGCTTTAAGAGTCTTCTCATTTAGTTCCCACTTGCCTGTTTTGTTCCCATCCATGTGTGGGTGTCCCTAGATTCCAAGTTCTGAGGGAGGGTGTGGGTCAGGGTTCTTACCTGGTATCTAAAAATGTTTGGGAGTGCCCTGGGCCTATTCAAAAGTTTAGAATCTGTAATCACCATCAGATCCTCCAGGACTTCTCCCCTCAACAGAGAATTGTACTGTAGGGCACCCCAGGCCCACCTTAGCCTACATGGCAGCAAATACCACTGTGCCAGGTATATCTGGACTCTTGGGTAGTCTTGGCCAATTCCAAGACTGGCCAATTCCAGGACTTGTCCACTGTGTGCAGAGTATTTTCAGTATGTTATCTCATGCAATACATGAAAACAGTCCTAAAGCGTTGGGTATTGCTATTTCTTTTATACACACGGGAAAATGGAGGCAGAGTAAGAGGAAGAGGAACTTGTCCAAAGTCACACAAGTGTTAGGCAGAAATGGGGTCATTCAAATCCAAAATCTTCTCCAGACCACACTGCCTCCCAAGAAGAAATGTGGGCATGTCCTGCTCCCGCCAGGCAGGAAAGTGCTCCTTATCAGCTTCTCCAGGGGTCTGCTGTCACTCCCAGGAAGGACTGTGACAGGCATGGACGGGTCTCCAGCCTCACCCAGCCTGCTGCCAGCACTCTCCCGTCCAGCAGCATGTAACATCTGACGCTCTGCCAGGAGCTTATAGAGCTGCACAGGGAAGTAGCCGGTGTTTCTTCCCCTCCCCAAATGGAAATATCACTCGGCCTCTTTTAAAATTGACTTCCTCAGTTGATTTTGATCGTAGGTGCTGCAGCAAGCCTCAGGCCTGGGTATTTTCAAAATCTTGTTTGCTATTATAGATGGCCTTGGAATTTGTTCTTGGGGGTCTGAATGTAACATAGGAAAATGTCCTTTCTTGGGGAGTGGGGCTTTAAAGTTCATTTGTTTGTGACTCAAAGTTTAGCTGTGCACTGCGCCTTTACATTCTTCCTCTCTTCCTCTTGTCTCAGAGCCACAGCTATTGAATTTAGTGATCATAAGTTGCGTTTCTGATCTGATCTCTTGCATTCTGGTGGGTACTTGGGACAGAATTAGCTTTGTTAATGATTTTCTGGGCAGAAAGGAAATTCAGTTGCATCTGAAGGGGCTTCACAGTCCAATATGTGCCGTCCCTTTGTTTTATATAACAGAGAATGATGGTCAAGGCCACCCCCATCTTTAGCAGTAGAGCCAGCACAAGAAGTCAGGTTTTCTGCCTCTTAAGTCTCATGCTGCCTCACACAGCACCTCCAGAGCTCTGGGGAAAGGAGGCTCAGAGACGTAAAGTGACTTGTCTGAGGTCCTCTGGCTAGTGGGTGAAGAAGTTGGAATTAGAACTGAAACCTGTATTAGAATGGATTCCCTAAGCTGTTGCAGGGAAATCCATTTTTTAAAATAAACTCAATTATGTCTTGAATGTACTCAGAAAATGAGCTGTTTAAAATTTCTCATTGTGACTGTAATGTGAACAATGATCTCTAACTTGTATTTTATTTGGCAAGAATGGGGGATGTGCATTCAGATCTTCACCTCTGGGATTTCCTGACGCTTGCTCTACTTGGACTCCCTCCACCCGTATCCCCATCCGACTCCTAGACATTAAAACAAATCTGGCCATGAGCACGCCTACTGCTCCACCACCGCCTACTTTCTTTGGCCATCAGAGCCTTGAAGTTTATAGGACAGAGGCCATGACATTAGGGAGCTTGTTTAAAAATCAACGATCAGAGAGGAGGGCCATCTAAGAAAAGGGGTGTGCAACTGCTGCATTATTTCAGAATCTTTCTCAGTGGCAGGCATGCCTGCCCCCCCACCCTCTCCCCACCAGGCACAGGAGCCAGCAGCTGGACTGTGCTCTGAGTTTCAGGGGACACCTACCCAGACTGACTGGGGCTTCTGGGACTTCTCATAAGAGGAGTCAAGAGCTCCCGTGCTTCTTTAAAAGAAGACAGACTCGGTGTTCCCATTGGAGTCTGCGTACTGTCTCAGGAGGGAAAGGCAATGACCCTCTGGCCTTTTTCTCCCCCATGTCACAGTCCCCATTTGCTGGAGCCCTTGAGGGGCCGCCAAAACATGTGGCTCTCATTCAGCCTTCTAAAGTGTTGCACTACTGAATCCTCCTGTTTACACCAGCAGTGAAGAGTAATGAAAGGAACATGCTTTATGCAATGGCTTTATGCTCAGTGTGGCAATCAAAATCTTGCCTGGGCAGATGGAGTCAGGGGCTATGAAACAGTCATGGAGTTGTTACAAGGCCACTGTCTCTCTCTGCTTCCCCTTCCAGGTCTCTGCTGTCCCCTGCAGCCACCACAAGGGCTAAGCTGGTGATGAACCTCTTGGTTTTTCCTTAGAAACACTATGACTTATTTGTGATTCTTAGTCTAATCCCAGGTTAAGAAACAGAACAAAAGCTTGTGACCTGACCCGTTCCGTTGCCGCCTTCCTTCTCTTTCAGGCACCTGGACGTGTTAGTATTCTGCCCTGTGCCTTGCCCAGGGGAGGGAGAAGTTTCTAGCAATTACGGCTTTCTGTCTGCTGCCTGGTGCTTTTACAGTACTTCATCTGGTTTTTATTGTTGTTGTTGTGTTTTTTTTAACCAAAACGGCATTTGTTTGGCTGTCATTGTTGCGTATATATTTATTGTGTTTTACAAACATGAGTATATATGTATGTATATGTATAAAACCAAACTTATATATAAGAAGTCAAGGCATGTATACTAGATATTTTAAAGAGTTATTTATCAAGGGAAAAAGATGTGTGTTATAAAGTAAACAGAGTCTATATTTTCTATATAATGTAGATAGTCAAACATAGCTTATAAATTATAGGAGGTTTTGGTTTTCTTTTTTATTATTAAAGGAAAAAAGGAAAAAAAAAAAAGGACAATGAATGCAACTGTTCTTAGCGTTTTTAAGGCCGAACTCCTGTGGAGCTGGGAGGTGGCCCTCCCCGGGGGCCTCTGGAGCTGATTCCCATTGTGACCTCTGTGATGCTTGATCAGGGCCAGCGGTCAGCGTCACTCAGCCAGCTGGCCTGTGCCGCTCCGACGTGGCTCCCAGCTGTTCTCCGCAATTTGCATTGGTGGGATAAAGGAATGACATGGATAAATAAAGATTTAAAAGAAAATACAGTTTCAGCTCTTTGCCTGTTTTTTATACCCTACTCTCAATTTAGGCGCCTGATCGGTTTGTGGGGTCTGAAGCATGAGTGGGTGCATACAAGGTAGAGGGGTATGTGTGTCTGTTGTGTTTGTGCGTGTGCCGGGGGAGGCCGTTCGTGAGTCAGCGTCCATGAAGCTGAACATTGGAAATCAATGAGCCTACAATTTTGATTGAAAATCAACACATTTGAGAACTGGAGGCACTTCAAAGCCATCTGGTTCAAACCCTCATTTTGGAAATGTGGAAATGAAAGGGAAGTAACCTACCTACGGCCTTTTGGTATGTATATGTGTGTCCAAAGCTAGTGTGGACAACAAGAGCTACTGTAAACAACAAGAAATTGAGAACATAGCTCTTAGATTGGGGGAGCAAATTTTAGAATGCTCCAGTATTTTAACACTGTAACCTAATACAACCTAATACTTCACACCAAGCACTGAAAGACTTTTTTTTGATACAGGGTCTTACTCTGTCACCCAGCCTGGAGTGCAATGGCACGATCACGGCTCACTGAACCCTCTACCTCCTGTGGCTCAAGCAATCCTACCACTTCAGGCTCTTGGGTTGCTGGAACTACAGGCACAGGCCACTACGCCCGCTAATTTTTTTTTTTCTGTATTTTTTAGAGATGGGGTTTCATCATGTTGCCCAGGTTGGTCTCAAACTCCTGGACTCAAGCGATCTGCCTGCCTCAGTCTCCCAGAGTGCTGGGATCACAGGCATGAGCCACTGTGCCCAACACTGACCATTAAAAGAGCATCTTTGCGGCTGGGCGCAGGGGCTCCCACCTATGATCCCAGCACTCTGGGAGGCTGAGGCGGGCGGATCACAAGTTCAGGAGATTGAGACCATCCTGGCCAACACGGTGAAACCTCGTCTCTACTAAAAATACAAAAAAATTAGCCGGGCGTGGTGGCGGGCGCCTGTGGTCCCAGCTACTCGGGAGGCTGAAGCGAAGAATCGCTTGAACCCAGGAGGCGGAGATTGCAGTGAGCTGAGATTGCACCACTGCACTCCAGCCTGGCGACAGAGCAAGACTCTGTCTCAAAAAAGA